GTAAATTCTGGTGGTACGTAATTAATATGTAATAAAATGTGCATATTTTTGTGATCATTTCTGTTTCTTCGTTGTGAAAATCAATGACGACTCAACTAATTTCGTAATTTGATTTCCCTCAAAGACGTAATCTGTCACTTGATGAATCAAATTTTTCATTTGCACTCTTTTTCGAGGGGGCTGCTCAGGTAAGCGCCCACCCCTAAAAAATCGTGATTTTCTGAGTTGAGGCCCCTGGGCGCTAACGCGGTCGAGTACGGTAATAACCTGATTATATAAATTCACCAATTATTAATTGTTCCACTGATACCGGTACTATCATTTTTTAATGAAACTACATAAATCTTATACTTCGGAACACTATACTAGTCCCAAGGTTCCTTGTTTAAAAGATGTATTTTAAATATCTATTTTTTTTATCTACATTATATTCCAGTCTGAAAATATGCAATATTCTGATTTTGATAAGTATAGATTCACAAACTCATCAATTGGTTTTCATCTTGCTACTGTATAGGTACAATGTAGTGGAACTGAGTCAAGTTTGTCAGCGTGTAATGTACAGTGGGGTGGTAATAGTTGTGATCATTCCAATGATGTTGGTATCAAATGTGCAAGTAAGTACGGTGCACTTATATATACATAATAAACAGACAAAGATGCCTAAAGTCATTTCCAAAATTATTTAATAAACCAGAAGTTTAACTGTTAAGTCATATATATGTAACAGTTTTTACCAAAATCACTGAAATACTTAGTATTGCGCATCTCATCAGGCGTGACATGCAACTATTTTGAACTTATACAACAGTGAACAGAGATCAGAAATCAATTTGCATATTCAAAACCAGGAACAATGAAATCACAGTTTTTTGCACACTATGGCACAGATAAGTACCCAAAAGCGAAACTATAGAAAAACACTCAGTAATCTAGAAATCCAGAGTAAACACACAGTAATCCGGTAACCCAAATTAAATGCACATTAATCTAGAAACCCTATGGAAAAACTCAGTAATCCAGAAACCCTATAGAAACACATAGAAATCCAGAAACCAAATTTAAACGCACATTAATCTAGAAACCTTAGAGAAACACACAGTGATCCAGAACCACTCTTATTTATTTATTCATTTATTTTTTTTTTTTATTAGTCCCCGTTCGGACGCAGTCCGAAAATGTGGACTTATGTTTTGACCTCCGTGTGTCCGTGCGTGCGTATGTGCGTGCATGCATGCATGCGTGCGTGTGTGCGTCTGGATCTGTATCTTAGAAATGCCAGGACCAATCACAATCAAACTTCACACATACATCATATATGATATTATACATATGCACGTCAATTTGTTTCACGATCTGATTCAAGATGGCTGAATGGCGGCCATTTTTGTGCTAAAAATCATCAAAATCAAGCATTTCTCAGCTGTTTACAGATGGATTTTGTTCAAACTTGGTATATACATTAGACATTATAGGACCTTCATGCACATCATTTTGTTTTACGATCTGATTCAAGATGGCCGAATGGTGGCCATTTTTGTGCCAAAAAATCAAGCATTTCTCGGCTGTTTACAGATGGATTTTGTTCAAACTTGGTATATACATTAGACATTATGAGACCATGATGCAAATAATTTTGTTTTTCAGATAAGATTCAGTCGGCCATTTTGTTTTAATGAATGTGGTTCTCGTGCCATATCTCTGACTTGCTTTCACTGATTATGTTCAAATTTTAAATATTCATTATACATCATGTCATAGATAGATAGATGTATTGGTTTGACAATCCTATTCAAAATGGCCAAATGGTGGCCATTTTTGTGCTAAAAAAAATTCAAATATAAAGCATTTCTGGCATTTATGGATGGATTTCGTTCAAACTTGGTACATATATTAGACATTACTGGTTCCTGATGCACATCATTTATTTTTCAGATCAGATTCAAAATGGCCGCTAGACAGCCATTTTAATGAATGGGCTTCTAGAGCCATATCTCTTAAATGCTTTGACTGATTATATTTAAATTTTATATATTCATTATACATCATGTTATATATATATATATATATATATATATATATATATATATATATATATATATATATATATATATATATATATATATATATATATATATACATGTATTCAAAATGGCTGATTTTGAATGCTGTTCCAGAGCAATCTCTTTCAATATGGACAAGTACCTGTTTGACGATCAGATACAAATGTCAATCATTTTAATGTTAAAAAATCATATTCCTAACATGGTTATATTCCAGCTATATTACTATAAACAAAACTATATATCTTAAATTTAAAAGATAACTAACGGGGACTGTGCCATGCATGGCTTGTTTATTTATTGCTTCGCTTTTGTAACAGGGCTCACTATGTAAATTAGGAGCTGCACCAAATAAATAATACATTTCACTCAAAGACTAATGAAAAAACTGTTGATAGACAAAATAGAAACTAAGTTACATGAACTAAAATAACAACAACAAAGACATCTAAAAGTAAAAAAAATAAGAAAACTAATATATAAGAAGTACATTGAAAAAATATTAAATATTATCTGTATACTTCTAACTACTCTCCATGGCATCAATTAATAAATTCTTTGTAAAAGTATCAATTTTGTCACACAGGACTGAATTATACTGCCTTGTACTGTCACCCAGGATTAAACATAGCACTTCTTTGTTTGCTTTTGTTTGCTTGTGTTCCTTTTTGCAACATGGACAGATACAATCATTGTTATCCAAGTTTGCCCATTTCCTTTACTCATATGCCAAACCAAGAGTGCAGGATCTTGCCTTGAATTTTAATTGCCTGCCCTTGAAGTTCGATACTAAATTTAAATATTTCTCCCAATATTTTAAAATTTGTTTAAATTTTCTATGAATCTCGTCACTGTTTACAATCATATTTTTAATATTTCTTTTAGACAGATAAGTACATTACCTTTTGTTTATCTTTATAGTTCTTTCTATATCTTCAATGCTATTTAGCCATGGCCAGGTCTTATTCAGATTATTCTCCTCTTTAACTACAGTTAGTTTATTAAAAATAACTTCTGACCATCTGGTTGATTCCATTAAACACAATCTCCTATAATAATTCAGTTTTAATAAACTGACTCTACTTTTCATAGTTATCCACCCCAGGTCCCCTAACACAGCTTCATTTGCTGTGTATCGACATACTCCTAGAATAAACTTTGCCACTGTACGTTGCATTCTTTCTAACTTTTCCTTGTCTTTAACAGGAAACAAATATAACTGACAGTTAATATAAAACGAATATTCCATACATACCAGTAAGACATTACTATAAGGTTATTATGAGGATACCTCAAAGTATGCATAAAGACACTCTGTACAGCGAGAGTTTTGACTGACGTGCAGCGGAGGTCAATGCGACAACATACTGTCTGAGTGCATATTTTGAGGTATCCTCAGAATAACCTTATTATTATACATCTTTTACGTTCAAGGATACATCATGGAATGCCGAAATCCAAAATGTTTAGAACAGCATCAGCGAACTTCCTTGTGTGGAACCCGGTCAAACTCTGGTGGCAGCCATGTTTATTTTTATTATCAGAGAACTCTTACGCGCAGAATCTTTCCATATTTGGAATTCGCATTTTCTAATATGTTGGGATGAAAATACCGTGTAAAATACCGCAAAATACCACACTGTAACTTATGGCGTTACAGTGACAGATGTATAATAATGTATGTTATTAGCCCCTGTTCAAACAAACCCCAAATGTAGATTAATTATGGTGTGTTTCCTAAAATGGTGTGTTTCCTAATGTTTCAGGATTACTGTAAAGTACCAAACAATATTTTAAATTATCTAAAATAACATGCTAGTGAAAAATACCATGAGATACAGGTTTTCCCTCTGCTGTAAACCACTCTTATTACTCTTATTACAAACTTAGGTATTTTTATGGTATTCAACATTAAATACACAACAAGAACTTTGCATAGCAAAATACTTGTATAGTACATTAAATACATAGTGTATTTTTGCTATAGATTCTCAGCTTACTCTGTCATTATTGACTGATACAACACATAACAATGAAGGATGCCTCCACTTACAAGATAATGAAGGAGAGAAACAAGTTTGCCTGAATGGTGGAACACCTGAAACACTGACTGTCATATGCAGAGAGCTGGGATTCAGCGCCTTTCACAGCTTAAACTCTACTAAAAAATGTTCACCTAGTGGTTTATCAAGAGTTATGTCATTGGTGAGAATATTATTATTATTATTAATGATAACAGAAGTTTCAGCATCTTGTACTTTAATTATTCAAATTTATTTAAATTAACATTTTGAATAAATAGTTGTATTATTGCCATGTATTTCTATTGGTAAGGGACGATGTCAAAAGATCGATGTCGGATAAAAAACTTATTTCCTTTAGTTTGGGGTGGGGGGTTTTGACCTGAAAAAGTTTCCATCCTACAAAAACGATTTTATTTTTTAATGAAGTCAAAAAAATCTTGGAGTATTTGTAGTTCGTTTTTTTTTTCTATCCAATCATGGACAGAAATAACCGAAAAGGGAAAAAAAACAGAAAAATTGTTTGGTTCGAGTGTAAATCTGTGCGTCAAATGAGGTGCATTTGTAAACTTTTTTTCATCCACCCGACAACTAACTGCTATGCAATACTACTGTCCGATTATCAATTTGTATTTAATGGTGAATTTAGTCTGACGCCATGACCAATATTTATCAATTAAGTTTCAGTGGGGGGTAGGGGGGTTTGGAAAAAAAACTAAAGGAATTAAGTTTTTTATCCGACATCGATCTTTTGACGTCGTCCCTAAGTTGACTTTTATTCACCAATTGTTGATGACAATGGTTTTTTGTCAACATTTTGCCAAAATATGACAATATGGCCAAGATTATTGTTACAGATATATAAGTTCTGTTTATAAATATGCTGCTAGATTGTGTGAACGACGTAAGACCTTGTTTCTGGGCAAATATTTAACATTGTACATATTTTGCAGGTTTAGTCAACATGTTAACAGAGGGCATTGTGCAGTGGCAAAAATAAGTGACAAAACACTCACCAGAGATATTAATATTATACAAATGGTAAACATTTGTATTATTATACCGAATAAATCTAAAAACAGAAATTGTGGAACTCAATCGTGACAATCTTCTAGGTCACCCTCGTAGAGCTGAATGTATAAACACAAATATACAAGTTGAAAGAGTTCAAGAGCAGAGATTGAATTCTACTGCCTTTTTACTTTCATGGTTGTTTTCATGGCTGCCATCCTGTGTGCAGCTATACGCTACACTGCGTTCCAGTTTGCATTGGAACACTGAAACGAGCTGCACATGGAGCTGTACACTGCTTGAGTATGGGTTATGTCAACACCATTCTCCTTCAACAAATACGCTGTATATAATATGTGATAAATGTATACAGTAAAAACCTGCAAAATACATGATAAAATCCAACAAAACTGTGCCGTACAAGGCAAAGCCCACGACACTCAAATTTTTTAGATAGGCGAACTGTGCAATCGCAGATCAAATGACTAAAAGCATGTAGCTGAGCACACTGGCGAAACACACAGCAAGCGCAACTAAAAATTATGCGAAATCGCTACAAAATCCTAGTTTTCTGGCAAACCAATCAGTTTATAATATTGTCGCGTATTGTGTTCCCTTGACTAGTTATTGGCATAAATCAGGTAAATTCAGGAATAAGGTACCCGGATTGAATATGGCAGCATGTCGACACATGAACATGTCTACCTGCAATACGCGAATCGGATTGGCTGTCATGGTCATGAGGTATAATAATAATCTAAATATTAGATATTAATCCACTGCCATGGTGATCTGTTAATAGGCTAACTGTGTTGGTGATGAGTTGCAGTTGACCTCCTGTTCATCGTATGCATGGATATCAGCTAAAGGTCTATTCTGTAGTGATACTAATGGGGACCGTGAATTGGTATGCACAGCTGAAATGACAACATCAGTATCGTCATTATCTACTCAATCACTGATCAAATCAACTGATTTGACACCAACATCTAATCCTGTGGAGTGTATATTTAACATCATAACAAGTAAGTTCAGAAAATTGAATTTATCTTGTAATTATCTTGTGACTCAATCATACAATAACTAAATTGTGTGATTATGTTAGTGCAGTCGTGGAATCATCAAATTACTATGACGATAACAATATAATTGGTTAATTAATGATAGTAATAATTATACAGCATCCAAACAAATTATAGAATTAACAATATCAATATATTATTATCATTAATACATGCTACCAAATGTAAACGAAAATGAGTGATCAGATGCAACGTCAAAATACGTACATAAACAGTGTGTATCAAACTAGTGTGGTAAACAGAATAAAGCTGCCACATATTACTTAAAATTTACGTGCCAGCAAAGCCAACTTTATTCAAAACTGTTGCCTAGACAACCAACCATTAAACCCCACTAACCTACTTGAATTTCACTGCTACCTATAATAAGTATTATTGTACCTTAATAATCTGACAGGTACTATTAAATGTATGCTAATTAATTATTTATGCATGCACATAAATGCTCCAGATAAGTCAATCTATTTATTTAACAACTTGTGTCTGAACAATCATTGCCATTAACATGGCAAGTCATAAAAATGTGTTAATTATCTGTGCATGTCACAAAAACATTAATCACACTAATTATTCTATACTCACAAAAATAGTAAGGTGAAAAAAAAGTTTTTCTTCTTGTCAGGTAAAGTGATTCATAGTATTATATTTGTTTAAGATCATTCACACAACAACGTATATTGATATGAATATCATATTATTTACAGATCTGAATTGTGTTTTCAATCCATCAACTTTCTTCTCTTATTTGATTATGTTTTCAATGTAGCATGTAACAACGTTCAGCATTCAGCAACATACAGCTGCACTGATAGAATTGCTAAAATTTGGTCTCCAAATCACCCAAAAATCTATGAGACAGATAGAGAATGTTCATGGAAGGTGCAATCAACCACCCAAGATGCCATTACTATACAGTTTGAAGGTGAGGTCATTCTCTGGTTTTCAGTTTGCTTTATAGATTAAATCTAAATGTTACAAGTCTAACTCATAGGTAATACATTGTACCATAGATTGTGTGAATTTGTAATACATTAGTTGCGTTCATGCACAGCTCCTTAGCACGGGCTAAGAGGTCAAATTCCTTAGCCCGTGCTAAGAAAACGTGTGTGAACGCTTAGCACGGGCTAAGGAATGCTAAGTACGGGTTAAATCTGATCCGAATTTAAGACGCGGTCTAGACCTTAGCACGGGCTAACGAAGTATGCGCGAACGCTTAGCCCAGGGCTAAGCTCCCTCTGCGGCGACCTTTGGGTGTAAAAATTGTCCCACGACACTATTCCACCAGTCATTACTCCGCGCTCACTTCCACACTAATCGGTCACTGTAGTAGAGCGTACAGCATGCAGCAGCTCCAATTGTAGACAAAATAAATTTGGGTCGCTGTCTACGACATGCATTAATAAAACTCTGTATTCTGTTATGCCCGTTGTATACTGTTTATGTGCATCCAAATAAGTTGGGTCCGTCTCCTCTCGTGTTCCTGTGCACGTCGCTTCAAAATTAGAACGAAACCCGGGAACAAAACATGCCAGCAGCAGAAATAGAACCTCGCGCGTGTCATCCATTTTTTGTTCGTAAATAGCGGCTTACCAAAGGTCACCGACTAATGGCACCCCTTAGCCCGTGCTAACGACTGGCCCTCCCTGTGCGTGGACGCAATTGGGTCTAGCCGAAATGCAAATATGCTAGATAAGCCTAAATCAGATGAATGTGACTTTGTATCAGAATCATCCATACTGGGTAACAAATGTACAACATTTTAAACAACTGTATTTCTGAGATTTTTTGCATGATTTTATTCAAATTCAGTAAAATTTTACATTTTGGTTGCACAAAATATGCTCAGCCCATTACATTACATTGCCAGCAATGACTGCATAATTGCATGACAGCACTATTTATTTAGGCACATGTACACCAGCATTGCTGCTAGTGATGGAATTATACATCTGTCACCTTAAAGCCATAAGTTACAGCGTGCAGTAATTTTGCGGTATTTTATGGGGTATCTTCATCCTACCATATAAGGAGATGCAAATTCTAAATATGGAATGATTACACGCATAATCCTCTACTAATAAAAACAAACATGGCTGCCATCGGAGTTTGAATGAACTCAACACAAAGAAGTTCGCTGATTCTGTTCTAAACTTTTGGATTTCGGCATTCCAATGACGTATCCTTGGAAAGAAAAGATGTATTAATAATAATACTAAGGTTATTACAAGAATACCTCAAAGTGTGCACTCAGAGTATATGCTGCACATCCACCTCCGCTGCACGTTGGTCGATACTCCAGCTGTCTTCATGCATACTTTGAGGAATTCTTGTAATAACCTTATATCATTATTAGTCCCTGTTCAGACGAAGTTCGAAAATGGGGACTATTAATTTGGGCTCGTTCCGTCCATCTGAACGTACGTCCGGAGTTATATCTCGGACACCCATTGATGGATTTCATTCAAACTTTACATGAAGACAATACATACATGTAATGCCTTACATATGCACGTCAAGTTACTCTATGATCAGAGAAAAAATGGCCGACTGGCGGCCATTTTGCATGTAAAATTTTCTTTTTCTGATACCTAAACGTGTCCGCAGCAGTTTTACGAAGATGACTGGGTCGATTTGGATCAAAGTTGGTATGATGATCATACATATTGGGTTGTAGGTGCAAGTCACTTTTTTTTCGTGATTCAAACATGGCCGACTTGCGGCCATCTTGTTTTTCATGGTACCCATGCTACTTTATCTTGAATGCAATGAACGTTTCTGTTTAAATATTTGAACAAAGATAGTATACCAAGAGATACATCTTTACCAACATGATTTTTGTGATTCAACGTCAACGCTCAATTTTCATGTAAAAGTGCTAAGTCATCATTTTTACATGTCCGAAGCTGTTTCTCAGAGATGACTGGGCTGATTTATATTAAACTTGGTATGGTGATCATACATATTGGGTTATAGGTGCATGTCATGTATACCAATAGATACATCAACATGAACATTATTTTTGTAATTTGATTCAATATGCCCAATTCTCATGTAAAAGCACTAAATCATAATTTTTTACAAATCCATCTCCTATTAATGGTTTCAATCTAATCTCAATGACTTCATCAGCATCAAATTGATATGTCAGATCACAAAATTTTCGGTCCAAGGATGATTAAATATGGTGGCCATTTTGTTTTGTGGAAAATTTGTCAGTTTTCATTCAAATTTGATTTAATTCATATTCAAATCCAGAATGCAAGGGGCAGCCATATAGTTTTTCAAATTGTATCATTGACATGTTTTTTTCTCTACAAATATACAAATTAGAATACATGTCCGTGACAATTAGTTTCACAATCAGATCAAAGATGGTTGACTGCCTGCACTCTTGCTTTTTGACCATACTAATATATCTCTGTACATGAGTCTGCACAAATAAAATTTAGTTTGGATACAAAAATGCATACATGGCATATCCTGTTCAATTTCTGACCATATATTATGAGTTTGGAAGAATTATCTAATACATCTAATTTTTGTTGATACTAGACCAGCCATTTATTTATTAATGTAATCTATGGCAAATAAACATTATTATTATTATTATTATTATTATTATTATTATTATTATTATTATTATTATTATTATTATTATTATTATTATTATTATTATTTATTCACTCTCAATTATTAACTATACTTTTGGTCCATATTACTTTATTTTTGGCATAAATAACATTTCCCCTAATGTCATGTAGGCATGTAACTGTTATACCCAAATTTTCAGAATGATTGATTCAAGCAGTTGCTGGTGACATAGGTGTATTAGGTGACATAGGTGTATTGGTTCACATTAGCTTATATATCAGCATAGAATATTTGAAACCATTCCTTTCAGTAGGTTTCTCAAACAGTGTTCACAAAAAATGTAGAAGAACACAACTATTGTAATAATAGAACTTTATACTTGGACATCTGAATGTTCTTGCATGCTAATATATGTTCTTTATCTTCTGTACAGCATTCATGACTGAACCAAACTATGATTACCTCTATATCTATGATGGCAATTCAGTTCAGAGTAAATCTCTAGGCGAGTATTCTGGATCAAGATTTCCACAATCTGTTACAACATCAACAAATCAAGTCTACATCAAATTTGACTCAAACCATGTGACAACGTTATCAGGTTTAAACTTGTACTGTCACTAGA